AACTTCCTGGATCACTTCTCTTCTTCAGCACTTTGTTCTGAAGCACTGCACTGCACTCCTTCGAAACCATCATGACACTCTCTTCCTTAACAGCTTTCCCAGACACTAACCCCTTCATGTATCTTTTAAGGGCTGATATCATCTGAACAGAATCAGCTAGAGGGAGTTTTACAGTCAAATCCTTCAGCATCTCCCTGCACTTTGCCTCCTCTAAGTCCTTGCGGGACTTCTTTGGTGGAACTGGGTAAGGTACCTTAGGCGTGTAAACTCTTGCAGAAATGTTTGCTGGAGCAGGTGGCTGGAGCAGGAGCTCCCTCATTGGCTCAGGGTGCTCCATCGTCAAATCTACGTCTGGAGCAGGTGCTCCCGATTTTGGAGCATGTGCTCTGATTGGGGAAGAATGCTCCATCGTCTTTTTTACGTCATGAGCTGGTTCCTCTTCTTGGAGCAGGTGCTCCACGTCCTTTTCCTTCTTTTTTTCTGAGACAGAACTTGTTGGTGCAGCATGCAGAGTCTTCCCACTTCTCAACTCAATAGCATTCACAAACTCATTCCTAGGGTTTTCACCTTTTCCAGGGAGAGTTCCAGGTGATCTCTTCACAGCTTCTGCAGTCTGAGCTACCTGAACATCCAGCTTCTTCACATGAGTCCACTCTGCTTCATACTTGCCATTCAAATCATTGTATATTGTGTCCACTTTGGCATTAATCTCCATGGAAGACTTTTGCTGATTAACCAGCAGCTGTTGCATCAAGTTTTTCAGCTCATCCTGCGAGTTATTTGAGGAACTCGAAGAAGGCTGCAGACTTGTGAAAGGCAACTTCTGCTGATTTCCACCTTGAAACCGATTCTGATTGGTGATGAACTGCTTTCCTTGGAAGTTGCTGGAGAAGTTCTTCTGAAATCCTGACTGATTCTGCACTCCTTGCTGCGGATAGACCTGATCCTGAGTGTTCTCAACATTGTTGCTTCTGTAGGATAAATTCGGGTGGTTTCTGAAGTTGTTGAAGCTGCGATTCTGCACATACCCTTGTCCATTCACGAAGTTCACCTCCATCTGATCATCATTCTCTGCATCTACAAACTCTTGAGCAAGAGGTGCATCACCAACCTCATCAGCAAAATGCACAGATCTCTGGTTCTCTCTCAACAACAGATTCACCTTTGCTGCAAGCTCATCGATCTTGCTCAACTCCACACTATGAACTGCTTTGCTAGACCTGTCATACTATTGGGATTTGTTGCTGGAGCTTGCAGCTAAGTTCTCAATCAACTCATAAGCAGCTTCTTTGGACTTAGTCATGAAATCGCCATTGCTAGCTGCATTCAAAGCATTAATCCCAGTTGACACCATCATAAAAGGTTGACAGAATCTGCTCATCAGAGAACCCCTGGTGAGGGCACTCTCTTCGGTACTCCTTGTACCTTTCCCAAGCTTCGCAGAAAGCTTCACCAGGTTGCTGTTTAAATGATGAGATCTTGTTTAGAGCTGCAGTTTTGGCCTCAGTGTAGAAATGGTCCAAAAATGCTGATCTGCACTCTTCCCATGTGGTTAATGACCCAGGTGTTAATCACTTCAGCCAGCGCAAAGCTTTGTCTGCAAGTGAGAATGGAAAAAGCTTGCACTTCAAAAAATTGGCTGGTATCCCATTTGATCCAGTCGTGCTGCAAATCCCCTTAAAATTCTCGATGTGGTCCATCAGAATCTCAGCAGGAAGCCCATGAAAGAGATGCTGCTTCACCAATGAGATCAGCTGAGGTTTGATCTCAAAGTCTTGCCTCTGAATGGTTGGAGGAGCAATTCGCAGCCCTGTTTTGATAGTAAGCATGCGGACTGTCCTTGTCTCCAATAGCAAGCTGTGGCTGCTCCCTGTCTTGCTGCGCCTTTTGCAGCTGCTCCAATTGCTGTCGAAGCTGTTTCAGCTCGACAGCCATGTTGTCATTGTTGCCTTGATCACCCATGTTGGCTTGAATAGGTCTTTGACGTCTGTTTTCTCGCTCGACTCTTGCTAGCTCGGTGTTTGACAAAGAAACAAGATCGGTGCAGTTGCTCCTTGTGGATATGTTTGACATACACCTGAAACACACGCAAACAAGAGAACAAGAGAAAAAATTAGTAAAGTCTTAGTCTGAATTTCAAACCAAAAATCAAAGGTAACGAATTGGTCCCCGGCAACGGCGCCAAAATTTGATTCACACCGGATGTACTCCTAGTTTCTACTGCAATAGAATAGTGATGTAGTTGTAATATAAAGGATTCGGAATCTAGAGGACCAGTGTTACTCTATGACTTTGCGAGGATTGAATGAAAGCTAAGACGAAAGAGGTTTGTTTGTAACGTTAACGAAAAACAAGCTAAAAAAAAATCGATTTCAATTCAAATTTAAAACAAGCACTAGATCAAGGTAATTCGCAGGAGTTTCAGAGATGAGAATCAAATGACTATTCAGGGCACAACTTAAATGCAGGTCTCGAACTCAAACATAAAAGCTTATCGATTCACTGTCGTGATCTCGATAACTTTATCTAACAACCTAAATTCGAAACTGTCGTTTGAACCTAGAAAGTTGCAGACAAGCATTAATGAGCAGGTTTGATATGTTCACGATTTGCCTTAACTTCAACTGTCGTTGGCTAAGGAAAAATCGCTCACCAGTGTTTGTTCTAGCAACCTATTACACTTTTGATGAATAGATTAACCTATGAACGTAAATTGAATGGCCAGTTCAACCTAAGCGTTAAGTCTAACAAAGGTGAAGACAATCGATTTTAAACCCTATTTGCATCCAATTCTCTAACTCATGAAATCCTTTGAAAACCTTAATCTAGCTAAGAGATCTACTCAAACATGGAGAAAAGAAACACAGCAACATATGAAAAGAAATTCATGAATTAAAATCGCAGAAGAGATAATAGGGTTCAGAATTCTTCTCAAGGTGTAGCAGATTTCTTCTCCCAAAAGCTTACAAGTTAAAACTCTCTGGTTCAGAAATTTGTAAAAAGAAAGTGTAGAAGAAAAGATAGGCGGCTCTGGACTCTTTTATTCGTTTCACGCGACTTGGAATTAGATAAATATGTTTTCCTTATTTTTCTCCCGGCTGGAGCAGGTGCTCCACAGAAGATCGAAATCGGGAGCAGGTGCTCGCTGAGAAGACTTCTCCAATTACGTAGGAAAATTGCTCCTTGTTGCTCAGCTTCATCCCTTTTTATCTCCAATGCCTTCTAAACACTCCAATCCTCTGATAAGGCCTCTAAGTCACCTGAAACTTCCTGAAAAGACTCCAAAAACTCCTAAAACAATTAGTAAACACAGGTTAGAATGAGCCAAAATCTCCACTCATCATAAATGCAACAAGTGGGGTCACAAAGCAGCTGAATGTGTGACGGAAACCGTTTTGAATACAAACCTATCAGTAATTCCTCAAAAGAAAACAAAACAAAGCCCATTAGTGGATCAAAAACCAATCAGTAGGGGAGAGACAAGAAACGCGGGTCTTCCAATAGAGAAAAAGAATGTATCACAATACACACTGACAAAAACCTGTGAGATACCAAGCCAAACAAAGGACAAGGAGGAAGGAGAATGGAATACTCAATCACGACCAATCAAGTCACCAACTAAAGGAACTGATCTGAAATTTGGTGAAGTAAGTATTCTTACCAACTCCCGCTTCTTAGCTTTGAGCGGTAAAGGAGAAGATGGTGAACTGATTACTAATGATGTTTCTCAAGAAGGAAAGAACGAATTATGTTTTGAAAAACCGAGGACCACTGATCACTCAGTTGAGAAAGGAACTCATAAACATGATGAAATAGAAGAAGTAAACATAAACAAGCCGGAGAGTAAAAAGTCACAAGTGTCATAGGGAGGAAGTGAGTAGTCCATGCAACAGTCTACCAGACTAGCGGCTAGGGAGGCTCAAAAGAAAATGTTCACTCTTCAAAAAAACCTATAATGTCTGCATTTTTCTGGAACATACAAGGTTTTAACAAGAGCAGCAAACATATCATTGTTAAAGAATGGGTGAATAGAGGTGGTTTTGATTTTTGGTGTCTAATTGAGACAAAAGTGAAAGAGAAAAAAGCAAACAAGATTGTATCTGAAGTTTTTCGAGACTGGTCATGTCTGGCGAACTACAAACATCATAGACTGGGTAGATTGTGGGTGATTTGGAGACAGAACGTGCGGGTCACTCCTATTTTTCAAAATCACCACAGCTTATATCTTGTTCTATTCTGGTTGAAGGAAAAAAGGAAGAGCTGTTAATTTCCTTTGTCTATGCATCAAATCTGGTGGAGGTAAGAAAGGAATTATGAGAGGACTTGAGGAGTCATCATAACTCAGGTATGTATAGAGGTAAGCCATGGCTCATCCGCAGGGATTTCAATGAAATCCTCAAAGGGAAAGGAGCATTCTTAATTTGAGAATAACTCAACAATACCAGCAGTGTGGTAAATGGACTTAAGTCTCACACTCTTTGACTCTGGGCCTTGGGCTGTTGTTTGTGCTTGTTAGCAAAACGTCGTAGTATCGGCTGTTGACTGTTTGGGATGCTCGCGTTGACTCAACGGCTATATTGGAAATCGAAGCCGTTGGTTGTTACAGATCGGTTACGAGAAGGATCGTTTCTGGTATATAGAGTTGCTGCGTCTTATCTAGATTGTTGTTGAGCTCTTAGAGAGAGATGTAGATTCTTTTTGGTGTAATCTAGTGAGAGAGTGTGTGTAAAAAATCTGTATCTTCTTCTTTAGGAAAGTAGTGGATTCCGGGATATCAATCCCGGCGTGAGTAGGCTGCCGTCATTTGACGGTGGAGGCTGAACATGTTAAACCTCGTGTCTCTTTATATTTCCGCAATTGCTCTTCTTGTTATTTAGATTAGTCTCGAAGAGTGTCGACGGAGTGAACGTGAGAATCAGATCGCATAATCGGCGATATATCTGTATCGTTTTACAAGAAGTGGTATCAGAGCCTCAGGTTAGAGGTGGAGATTCGTCGCGATGCTGTCGAAGCACGAGGTGGAGAAATTCAATGGGACTGGAGATTATACGATGTGGAAAGAGAAGCTACTCGTGCATCTGGATCTATTGGATCTGCTTGGGGTGGTCTACCCTGAGCTGGAGGAAATCGAAAAGGGGAAGGCAACCGAAACTGATGACTCAAAGGCTGAAGATAAAAAGGCGGAAGTGGATAAACCGTCCAAGAGTAAGCAGCAAAGTAAGGCAAGAAGCATCATCGTGTTGAGTCTAGCTGATAATGTTCTGAGGAAAGTCACGAAGGAGAAGACAGCCTCTGGTATGCTTAAACTCTTGGATGATCTCTATAGCCCAAATACCTTGAGTAGTAGAATTCATCTGACACAGAAACTATTTGGTTTTGCTATGCAACAAAATATGTCAATAGAACGGAATGTAGATGATTTTCTAAGAGTTATAGCCAATCTTGAGAATGTGGATGTTGCTATTTCGGATGAGGATCAGGCCGTAATGCTGTTAATGTCTCTTCCACCACAATTTTCTGGTCTTAGGGATACATTAAGATACAGCAAGACGTAATTGACATTGAATGAGGTTGTCTCTGGGATCAAATCTAAGGAGTTGGAAGTTCATTTCCATGGGAAGGATCAAAGATCGACTGCGGAGAGTCTTTATGTCAAAGACAGGCCAACCTCTAATTGGTCTAAAACAGAATACAAGAAAAATGGAGCTGAATCTAAGAAGCAGAAAGGAAAGTAAAAGGATAAATCAAAGAAGTCTTGTTGGTCGTGTGGTGAGAAAGGCCATTTCAAGATACAGTGTCCTAAGAAAGGGGGTCAGAATCAGAAAGGTAACAAACAACGTGGAGAATCTTTGCTGGTTAACTGTGATGACGAGGAAAGAACTGAAATGCTGTTTGTTGAAGAATTGTTGAATGTTACAGACTCTGATCTAGAACTTAAGTGGGTCATAGACACAGGATGTTCCTTTCACATGACCTGGAAGAAGGACTGGTTCATAGAGCTGGATGAACGCAAAAGCGGCTCAGTTAGAATGGCAAATGACACAACATCATGTATCAAAGGGGTTGGCTCAGTTAAAATTGTAACCGAGGATGGTTCAGCTGTCATTCTAACCAATGTGAGGTTTATCCCGAAGATGAAAAGGAACCTGATATCTCCTGGTACTCTAGAAGAGCTTGGCTGCAGCTTCAAATCCGACGGTGGAGTTCTGAGGATTATGAAAAATGGTCGGACTGTTCTAAAAGGGAGAAGGCATCAATCTCTATATTTCCTGGATGAGAAGAGGTTCAGTGCAAGTAACCGAGACTGTACTAGTGTTGTAAAACAAGATGAAACTTACCTGTGGCACAGCAAACTTGAACATATGATTCAGAGAGGTCTGGAATTGCTTGTTAAGAGAGGTTTGCTGGACACTAAGAAGGTGTCTCAGTTGGAAGTTTGTGAGGACTGCGTTTTTGGTAAGACTCACCGTCTTAAGTTTGGTTCCGGTAAGCATACATCAAAATGGACTTTGGACTATATACATTCAGATCTCTGGGGTTCGAGTTATGTACCTAAGTCACTTGGAGGAAGCCAATACTTTCTCAGTATTATTGACGACTGTAGTCGTAAAGTGTGGGTTCAGTTTCTCAAGAGCAAGGATGAAGCCTACACAAAGTTCAATGACTAGAGGGTTATAGTTGAGAATCAGACAGATCGCAAGGTTAAGAAGCTCAGAACCGACGACAATCTTGAGTTTTGCAATCAGATGTTTGATTCTATGTGCAGGGAGAATGGGATAGTGAGGCATAAAACAGTGGCCTATACTCCACAACAGAATGGAGTTGCAGAGAGGATGAACAGGACTATAATGGATAAGGTAAGAAGTATGCTCAGTGAATCAGGTTTGCCAAAACCGTTTTGGGCTGAAGCTGCATCTACAGCGGTTCATGTTATCAACAAGTCGCCTTCAACAGCTATTGAGTGCAAGATTCCAGATGAGATATGGTACAACAAGTCTGATCTGGCTTATAGTTACCTGAAGAGATTCAGGTGTATTGCTTATGTCCATTCAGATGATGGTAAATTGAATCCTAGAGCCAAGAAGGGAGTCTTCATAGGATATCCTGCTGGAGTTAAGGTTATCGAATATGGCTTCTTGAGGATAAGAAATGTTCAGTGAGCTGGAATGTAATCTTCAAGGAAGATCAACTTTATAAGTCTCTGAAAAGTGAAGGTGTGTCTAAGTCACAACAGGTTGACCAAGAAAGAGAGGTGGTGAAGTTAGAAATCAATCAGTCTAAACAGAAACCTGCAGAGGTGAGTGGTTCTGAGAGTGATGTTGAGTATCATGAGATATCGGAGTCTGAAAGCGAAGATGAAACAGACGTTGGGAGTGACTCAGAGGTCTTGCCAAGTCTGGAAACTTACCAATTAGCTAGAGACAGGGTTAGAAGAGAAATACGTGTGCCTCTGAGATATAGAGAGAGTCAGATGGTGGAACATGTGTTCTTAACTACGGATGAAGGTGGAGTCATTGAGCCACAAGACTACACAGAAGCTACACGTGTTGAGTTCTGGGACAGGTGGAACGAAGCCATGAATGAGGAGATGAGCTCATTAGCAAAGAACCGAACTTGGGATGTGGTGAAGCTTCCTGCTAAGGCTAGAGTGATTGGTTGTAAGTGGGTTTATAAAAGAAAAGAAGGAATACCTGGAGTTGAAGAACCACGGTTTAAAGCAAGGTTAGTGGCAAAAGGATATTCTCAGCGTGAAGACATAGATTATAATGAGATATTTGCACCTGTTGTTAAGCATGTGTCAATCAGGGTTCTCTTGGAGATTGTAGCTCATGAGGATATGGAGTTGGAGCAGTTAGATGTTAAAACTGCATTTCTGCATGGTGAGCTAGAAGAAACGATTTACATGAAGCAGCCTCAGGGATTTGCGGTTAAAAGGAAGGAAGATTGGGTTTGTTTACTGAAGAAGTCCTTGTATGGACTTAAGCAGAGTCCAAGGCAATGGAATCAGAAATTCAATCAGTTCATGAAGAGTATAAACTTCTCTAGAAGCAGGTAGAGCTTTTCTGCGATTCTCAGAGCGCCATAGCCTTGGCTAAGAATAATGTTCATCACGATCGGACAAAACATATGGCGTCTAAGCTGAGTTTCATTAGAGAAAAGACTGAGGAGAAGTTGGTAAAGGTATCAAAAATCTCTACTTTAACAAATCCTGCTGACATTTTCACTAAGTGTCTGCCAGTGAACAAGGAGTGTGAAGCTTTGAAACTGCTTCACATGGAGTCTGAATGAGAGATTCAAGATTCCGGGATTGCGGAAGCTACTTTGGAGAAGTTAGATTGAGCTAACAGATGTTGAAACAGAGTGTTCTACGACTGAAGCCATAGATGGAGTTTTGTGGTAAATGGGCTTAAGTCTCACACTCTTTGACTCTGGGCCTTGGGCTGTTGTTTGTGCTCGTTAGCAAAACGTCGTAGTATCGGCTGTTGACTGTTTGGGATGCTCGTGTTGACTCAACGGCTAGATTGGAAATCGAAGCCGTTGGTTGTTACAGATCGGTTACGAGAAGGATCTTTTCTGGTATATAAAGTTGCTGCGTCTTATCTAGATTATTGTTGAGCTCTTAGAGAGAGATATAGATTCTTTTCGGTGTAATCTAGTGAGAGAGTGTGTGTAAAAACTCTATATCCTCTTCTCCGGGAAAGTAGTGGATTCCAGGATATCAATCCCGGCGTGAGTAGGCTGCCGTCATTCGATGGTGGAGGCTGAATACATTAAACCTCGGGTCTCTTTATATTTCCGCAATTGTTCTTCTTTTTATTTCGATTAGACTCGAAGAGTGTAGACAGAGTGAACGTGAGAATCAGATTGAAGAATCGGCGATATATCTGTATCGTTTTACAAGAAGCAGGAATGAGGGATTTTTAAGAGCTGGTAGAAAATTGCGAATTGTTTGATCTAAGTTTTCACGGCCCAAGATATACATGGTGTAAAAAGAGAATAGAAGGCGTGATCAACAAGAAGCTAGATAAATTTCAAGTTAACTGGGAATAGATAATCTGGCAGAGCCAATCTTACTGTGTTTTAGAATCGGGTGGATATTTCGACCTAGATCGAAGTACAAGCTTTTACTCCTTCCGTCTCAGGCTTGTTTGAATTCATCTCTTCACCTCAACCAAGTTGAACGACAGTCAATGCATTAATTTCTCAAATTGATTTTAAAGTTCACTTCATTGTCACTCTTATATATGTCTCATTTACTTTAATTTCAGTCACATGTTGTGAGGTTTCGACCAGAAGGAAGCGATTCATCAGCTATTTCGAAGTCGTTTGTCGGGAAGTGGCTGTAGAGGTAATGTATCTCATTCCAAAGTTTGTATTTCAGAATCTAGGCAATCTCGTTGAGATTACATAGCTGCTACATACTAATTTTTTTATATTGGTTTGTAGAGTTAGCTAACTGCAACATTAGGGATTGGAAGATTACTTTCCAGTCTTAAAGGAAAGTGAACTCGCAAAAACCAATTTGCGGTAAATTATACAGGTTAGTCCCATCTGCTTAAATTTAGTATCACACATGGTTTTTACTTATCTGTAGTGGTGATATCAGTGTGTAAAAATTACAAACCTTCATATTTTGTGGGTCTTTGATTTGTTGTGCTTGTTCGGGTGATGCTTGTTGTTTGAAATCTTTTGGTTATGGGTTTTAATTAAGGTTTAGAACATATAATGCTGGACAAGTTATGGGTGCATCTATGCAGGTACAAAAATGAAATAAATAGGTTTTGGTTTTGTGTGAGCCAAAACTCGCACAACCAGAAATTTGTTTAAGGAAAAACTATGGGATCGGAAACTTTTAGGGTTTATCGTCAAGAAACAGTAAGATCAAAGAAAGTTTTTATTGCAGTGAAGTGTTTAGGTTTTATTGCTCTCGAGTTGTCAAAAGTTACAGCATGAATTGTATACATCGTCTATTTATACTAATTCTCTGAACCACCTAGCCGAGAATCTCGGGAGAGATTTTCGGAATATTTCCTTATTGCCTCGTGCGGCTCACCGCCTTTGTATTTCGCCTAGGGTTTCTATGGGCTTCGTCTCTCAAGGCCTTGGTTCGGCCCATCTGAACTTCTCCACGGCTCGGCCCACTTGCCATTTGAGTCGAGACGTGATTTGGTCCACCTCACCGAGGCGCGGCTCGGCCCAAGCATGTTGAAGTGCGGTTCGGCCCATTTCTCATGATACGGCTCGGCCCATCTATCTTTCTTCACGGCTCTCCCCATTGGTCTATCTTCACGGCTCTCCAACTTGGTGACCACGGCTCTCCCACTTGTCTTGGTGACCACGGCTCTCCCACTTGTCCTGGTGAGCACGGCTCTCCCACTTGTCTTGGTGAGCACAGCTCTCCCACTTGTCTTGGTGAGCACAGCTCGGCTAATTTGTCTTCCTTCCATACTTAGTCATTTTGAGATGGTCTTATCCGCTTGGGGTGAAAACCGACCCCAACAGTTAGCCCCCCAGCTCGTCAGTTTCGGAGGCGAGAATGACGAGGTCCATTACT